CAAGTTTAGAAGTCCTGGTATTATGTAGGCCTATATTTCTTTAACGGTGTTCAATCAAACCTCTGGTACTTTCATTAGTCAGGGTTCCTTTTTTTTCAATTTACAAGATGTCTTTGCATAACTACCCAGTCGTATCAAGGAAGAGGTGTTACATTGTTGCTTTTTTTAAAGTTTTATCTGAAGCTTGTAATTGTAAAGGTTATGAATATTGAAAACATTATCATTTTGAACAAGTTTTATATGTGCGAAAGATATTGTGCATTTGCAATTGTGCGCAGCGTCTCTCTGAGTTCGGTGCACTTTTTTTAAGTGTCGTCACCATGGTTGCACGCCAGACGAATTAGTAAGTGAAAATAAAAAACTACTTACACTGTGCATATGTAATCAAGGTAATAAATACATACTGATGCCGGCATATTAGTCCAAGTGCTTGCGATACTTTTTAAATCAAATATTTAATGTGCTCGTTCTAGGACACATTGTACAAAAACACAAATCCCAGTGTATTGAAAATACCAACAATTAGCTTTGGATAAATATATTGTATTCATTAAATGAATATTTTAAATTGTAGTCGAAACATTACAGCTTTGTTTTGTTTGTGTTTGTTAGGCATTTGTGTTCGGCCATAGTGCTATTTCATCTAACAGTAAATTAACCTTTAGAACTCACTCGCCTGCATTGTCGCCAGCATAAAGAAGTGCGGGATAATTAGCACATATCATAAGTTTGGTTGTTTAATCAATATATAACAAAATTATATTTGTAGGCATAATAAGGAAATGGGTTCAAATGCTTCCTTGTGGTGCACCAGAAATTATTGATTCTACGTCATAAGAAAAATTTATCGCAGCACATATACTGACCCTGACTTTCTAGACAAAACTTCAGTATGTCTCAGGCTTGAACACGCACGCCATAACATTTTAGTTTACGTACCAACGATTCGTGGTTTATATAATCAAACTTTCTGTTTTTGTAATTTTTTATTGTAAGATGCTAAAACCAGTTTTTGGACTTCTAGATTACGTAAAATAAATGTCATGTCTTTAAGTAATGCACATTTTGTTTAAAAAGGTTGTTTTATCAAAACTGTATTTTTCTAAGTGTGTACTTATAGAAACATTTTGACAGTCGCAATTGAATACCATTTCTAGCAATTTTTAATACATTCGAAAAACGTCATGAGTCATTCCACTCTGAGAAGGTGGAGGACCAGCGAAGCTGTTTAGCACACGACACAGACGTGACACAGAATTTAGCGTGTGCTCCATTAAAGTGGTCCATTTACGAGCATGGTACCTGCGTTCTTTTGATGCGTTCTCCGCCCCGCGACGTTCGTCGACTTGTCTGGTTTGCCGCATGCGCTTGGCGTTTTGTGCGCGATTTTCATCTGTGGTGTTTGCCGCCCGCCGCCGCCGCCGCTGACATTCTCGGTGCCGTTCCCGCCGCTGCTCTTCGTAGGCGCGTTGCTCTTCGGGAGTCCGGACTTTACGCGGCTTCCCCATGACGACGGGAGAATAGAAGTGAAATAGACCTGTTGCTAAATTACCCAAGCATAAAGGAGAAAGCAGAGAATGGTGTTCCATGCGGCGCGCGTGCCGGCATCTGCAAAAGCATAGCCTCCTCTATACTGACAAAGCTTGGCGAATGGCCACCAGAAGCGACCGCCAAAATTGAAAAGGTAGAGCGGCAAACAACAGATGAGAGGAGAGCCACGTGACGGGTTCCCCGCTGCGGCGAGACGCCGAAACACACTTCTCCGAGCGATAAAATGTCCGCTCGTGCTCCTTGCGTTTTCTCGCGCAACCGCTTCTTTTCTCGTCCGGTTTTAAAACCATGTTTCGGGCCCTCGCCGCTGCAAAAGCTGTGCGCTAATGTCCAGGATTCCCCAGAATAGCTCTGTGCTACCATATCCCCGCGCTCTAAATCTGCGACCGGGCACTCTATGTTTCTGTCGTGGAATTTCACGCTTTCTGACAATAGAGGAGGCTATGGCAGCAGTAACTGCTCTAAAGCAAACGCCTAAAACAAATGGCATCTTGCACGCGGGTTCCCCAACGCTTTGCTCTGGTTATTTACTTCGAATATTTTATTCGGGTAAGGCGTGCGCGTGCGGCGGTGCAAGCGTAATTTTTGGTCACGAAAACGAAAAATCCACGGAACCCTAGCCATAACTGCTCTCTAATTATTGGGAATTATTGAGGAAACTGCTCTCTAATTATTGGGGTCATTCCTATCCCCTCATTAGTGACGTGCGAGACAAAAACCGTCGCAGTGGCCGAAGTTCGCGATTGGCCAAACCATCCTGTATACTGATAATGCTATCGCAATCGCCGGTTCATGGCGAAGCAAATTTTGGTCGTGACGTCACGAACGGAAACCGTAAATAGGGCGCCACCGAAACATCTTGGTGCTAATAAAGTACAGAAACTTTAGTTACCCTGCAAACACTTATTGAATACGTCTACTCATATGCACAAGCGAAATATGTGAGTTATACAGGTTACAACTAAGCCTCATACATATTTTACTACTGAAATATGAATGTTTTCATATTTTTATATAGACGCTTTTAATCAGCTGTGCATGAACGCCGCCATAACCGACCTTTGGTTTTGGCTTCCTTTTATTCTGTTTACTTCACTTCATGATTACCACTGTAGGACATAGTTCATTGCCATATTAGATTCGATTGTGTCCCTCGCCCCAGCAGTGGTTTTTGTGTAGGCTCGTAAACGCCCGCCTCAGTGGCTCAGCATCTCGGTGAGACAAGAGCAGGTCAGCAATGGCGACTGCGATCTCGCGCGTGTTTAACTGAGCGTTCATATTCATAATGCAAAACTGTATTTTTCTTTTTTTGATGGGCAGGTATTTTGGTGCATGTTTTTCATGGTCTTTGTTTGTTCCGTCTATTGTTTTTGATGCTAGATTCGAGAATTTCAGCGAAGATTGTGCTGGTGACATCGATATGTCACCAGCACAATCTTGCTAAAACAAAACAAGGCTATTGTAACAATATTATACCTTGAACTTGACATTCAACATAGATGTGTCTGGTTGAGTGCAATAATTAAAAATTCAGGACCTACATTCAAGGCGTGTTTATGAACGCAACGTTTCGACGTCTCCTCAGACTATTGTTCATGGGTGATTGGTGATGGCCGTCGCGAGCAGCAGTATTTTTGTATTCGACTTCTTTCAGGGTGTTGAATTTTTTTCTCTTTTTTTTCTTCTTTTTTTTTTTTGAGTTGGTGACACTTTGAAGTTTGTGGACGTCGGCAGACCAGGGGACCTACTTATGTTTTCTGGCGTAGTTTCTATGTACCACGATTCCACGAAACATTTTAGTCGGTGGAAAATTCAAACGTTGAGAATGCGGATGTCCTTCAAGTCATTGCAGCGGTCCTTAACGTCACAGTGTTCAGAAACTGTGCTGAGCTCATGATCGTGAACTCGTGAACTTGTGAACTCATGAACTTGCGAGCTCGTGAAATGGTACTGCGAACCTGGTTTAGGTGTTGACGGATCTACTCGTAAAAGTTCGTGGTTTCGCCTATGTATGGGCCTGGACAATACGTACAATGAATCCTAACTATAACACCTTGCACCCTCTCTCTGGGAGAATGATTTTTGATCGTGACATAAGCCGTTCGAATATTGATATTGTCTCTTGGGCCATCTCAATCAAGTCCTCCCTAACCAGCATGTGTGCCAGTGCTTCGCTTCTACCTTGTATACGAGGAACGCTGATGCGCGTGTTTGACCGGGACTGCGTTCTTGCCTGTGATTGAAGGTTCCCATGACTTTAGACTATATAACAAGCAGTTCGGTTGATAAAACTGCTCGCGTAGCCGTTCTTACTGAGGTCAGCAAAAAAGTTTTGCTCATCTTGCTTTTTTTTTTTGTTAGAATAAGTCGAAAAAATATCCCTTGACGTAGAGAAGAGTGCCCTGACGACCATTCACCACACGCCAAATTGATTTAAAAATTTTCACACTGCTTTGTACATAAGTCGTAATTCAAAAATGATTCTTAAGGTATCAGTAGTGGTTTCATTTGAACTATATATTATATAAATGTTGCGTTCTTGAGACTTCAAGAATGCATGTTTTCCAAGAACCTTTGGGGAAATTAGATTTCAATCCGACAGATTGTATATACAAATTTCCAGATACAAGCATCTACGATGAAAAAACTGCTATAATAAAGGAACAGCGGAGTGCTCAAGTAGAAGGCAAGCAATGTTTTCTATATAGCAAGATATTTGGGAAAGATATCGTTATGGCACAGGGTACATACACGCGCTTTGTGTGCCCTTCTCGCTTGCCCTACTGTCTTGACGTTAGAAATAACACTGCGCTACTTGTTGAAAAGTAATCCAGCACCCCTACTACTGACCTTGGCCAAACCTATAAAAAAGAAGGCCGATGAGACAAAATGTGTGCAAACTATACGGCCTGCCGATTCTTGGAAGCAGAACTTCGTGAGAGCAAATACATCTTGTCTATGGAGTAAGTCTATTGTCTTGCTTATTCACTTGTCCTCTGAGTAGCACAGGAATCTTTGCTCTGACAGAAATATTGTCTGCAAAGTGCCTACATAAGCCCTTGGGGATCAATAAAGTTGGCAAATTGAACGGCCAAAGCTGACAGTGGCAGGATCATGCTGTGAATCAAGCTCTAGGAACTGGCTTATAAGTCGGCAGCCTTTGTTTTCTATTACTAGGATCCAGCTCTTTACTCAGGGGAGGGGCTTATGGGGCTTCAGGCACCCCCCCCCCCTCCCGCCATGATATCTAGCCGACCCTATAGTATACACACGCATGTTGAGCTACCCCCCCCCCTCCCCCACACACACACACCAAAAGTCATGGACATTCCAGTCCCCTCAACCCCCCCTCCCCCAAAAATATGCCTGGCTAAGCCAATTACTGGCATCTAGGTGTACAAACGTTTCTCGAGTTGTGTTCGGGTCACTTAATTCACGAGAGCACCAAGCAGAGCGAAATTCCATGTTTTTATTTCTGCATTTATTGTTATATCCCGTTTATGAATGCAGTAAACAACACAGGCGAGGGCTGAAAACAGATGATTATATCTCTCAAATTCAGAGACATAAAACATACATAATGAGTCTTTTGATCCTGGTGTTTTCTTGAAAAAGCGCGGCTCCTTCAAGGATGCTTCTTATAAAGGTTATCCAATCCCGTGTGGACGACCTCCTCCTCCTCCTCCAGGCCGGAAGGGACCACCACCTCCTCCTCCAGGTCGGAAGGGACGACCTCCACCTCCTCCTCCCGGTCGGAAAGGACCACCTCCTCCTCCAGGTCGGTAGGAACCACCTCCCCCTCCCCCAGGTCTGAAGTTGCCACCACCACCTCCTCCAGGTCTGAAGTTGCCACCACCACCTCCTCCAGGTCTGAAGTTGCCACCAACCCCTCGCTGTCCGGTAGTGGAGGTTATGCAAAGGGTGACGACCAGCACTACGGCCAAAAGCAGGACCTGGACAAGAAGGAATGATTGCGAAGACTTCGGCTTGGCCCTTTCTATACTTTGTTATCCAGAAATTTGACAAAGAGCGAACACTACGGCGCGCTCGGGGGAATCAAAGGGACGGAGGCGAGGCACGTGACAGCCCATACATGGGAGATAGAGTGATCCAAGCAGTTGGAGAAGAGGGGAACGAGGGTCAGCACTCTTTCCCGGACCTTCCTTTGTGTGTCAAACACGTCGCTTTCCTTCCTCTAGAAACTTCGCCTGTCGCTCAAAACTCGTACAAAAATGGGCTTTTTTTTTTTCTTTTTCCAACTCTTGACTTTGCCAGCACTAAGCGCAACCAGTGGACTGATGTATATTACCGAGTGTCCTTCGCACCCACTGATTGCCTCACTGGAACCATAGACATCGGCGATTGCCAAGTTACGCTGAGATGGTGTATAAGCTCCTTTCCATCATTTTTTATGTAATAACTGTACCGTAAATTATTCGATTTCACGGAAATCATGAAACAAATACGTTCTTATGTTGTTGTTTTTAGAAAAAGAAAGCTCCCAAAGAGTCAGGGATTTTTATATTTGCTAATAGTAGAGTAACGTTTGCTGGTATATAGGAATTGCGCTCTAAGAGAAGTCTGTATGTTCACGTTTCTAGGGAACAATAGGCAGCCCATCAGCGAATAGTAGAACAAAACCGGCGAAGGACGAAGCAAAAAATACGATTATATCGAAAACAAATACAATGTGCCCTGGGATAGGGAGGAAGTAAAACACCATGCTCGTTGTCCTTGTAAACAACGGGTTTTTTATTTATTTTTTTCATTGTGTTTTGAGTTTTGTGATTTGCTGCGAGACTGTTTGCCGTGACTGGCGGTTGCTATGTTCTGCGGGAAAATTAACTTGTAAATTATTTCTACAGTGAAAGTCACCAAAAACGTTTTACACCATATCGGAAAAAGACTTAATCTAAAAGTGCCCCTAGGCTTCCGCTTTAACTAGCAACTTCAAGGTAATGGCCGAGCGCTAAAAAAAGCAGATGTCTTGAATGCCATCTGTTAAGTAAAATAACAACGGCATTCGAATCTGATGAGAAAAATTAAAAGGCATCCTCCTGGAAGCCTCGATATTACTGCCGTTATATTTCTAACTAATTTTAGTCCCTGACAGTCTAAGAAACGCACGGCGTTGTGGTTTCTGAGCATTTGAGTAGTATTCCCTAACCAAAGAGATTGCAACGTCAGCCGGTAAGGAAACCCAACAACGGAAGATGCATGCGAAGCGTGAACACGATGAGCGTCGCCTTACGTTTCCTGAGAATGACAGCCCGTTCCTCGTTCTCTGAATTCAATCTTTGAACAAGTTCCAATTACATGTTTCTTTAATTTTGTCTCCAAGAACGCAACTGTTTGTTTTTTCTTGCACTTATGCTATATTCAATGATTTGTCCGAAGGTTGTGCCAAAGATAATGTATGTAATGCCTGCGAGGGCGTTTGGTGCAAATAAATAAATAAATAAAATTAATACGCTTTTGCTGAACACTGAAAGAAAATTACATCTTGCCTGTAAAAAATATAATAAAATTATAGTGTTCCAGCTCACGCAGAGATTTCTTTCATAAAGGCTTATTTTCACGTGCTTGCAATTTTGTAAAAACAAATGTGACTCGCGTCTAAGAAATGAAATATCTGCCTATAAATAAATAATGAAAAACAAAACTTTACTATAATGATCATTTCGCTCAAAATTCATCAAGCTTCTTTTCTAAATTGACTCAAAACGAAACAAACACACAAGAGGACAAAACAAACGACACAGCTGTGTCGTTTGTTTCGTCCTCTTGCGTGTTTCTTTCGTTTGAAGTCAATTTAGATCACCAACACGCTCAAGTCTTTATCTTGTTTTCTACTTTCCCCAAACACTAAAGTGAAAAATAAAGAAGTACCATTCGATATAGCGCAGCCCCAAGACTGCAGGTAAGCAAAGACGACACACACACACCGGGTTGGGGGATGTCGAATCATCATCAGCTTGAAATTTGCACCCTGACTTTCTGTTAATTAAATCTACCATTTTTTGTGTGTGTGTGTGTGTGTGTGTGTGTGTAAAAGAAAACGTGCATTTTTTTTTTTTTTTTTGTAATAATGCTAACACCATTGAAACGTCGGGCAGTTAGCACCCGTTAACCGTCTGCACACGTCGAAGAAGGGGCATTTCGCGAGCGATTCACAAAAGGGCAGTTCAAAAGATATCGGCGAACTGCTCTACTCACCATTTTGGAGACAGCCATGTTTGCCGTGTCGATAGGGCTCCGAATTGCTAAGGCTCTAAGTTTTAGCGTGCTCTCCGTTGACTTATATACGGCGCAGCCTCTATGGACGCAGCAGAATTCCTTCAAGGTCCTGGCAGGCAACCACTCCGGCTTTGAATACAAATGTGTCGATACGAAGCCGACTTGAGTCGAGCCAGTGAGATCACGGCGTTGTTTCCTTAAATTTTGTTAAGGCCGTCTGACTTCAAAACTATCTGGCGCTTCCTCTCCACGTGCTTTCACTCGTCCGTGTTTAAACATGAGAAATATGCGAGAGTCTCCGGGCCGTCTGAATAACAACAGCGAAAAGCTTCTAGAAGGGGCCATATAATAAAGCTCATTATTGACGGTTGCGCAGTTCGCCTCTCAATTAGCCCACGTGGAAAGATTTCCATCGTCAGTCCGGTCACGCAAATCGCTCTGTGCAGTAGCACTACGCAACAGAGGAGCAAGCGTTGACCAGTGGACACTTACGCAAAGAAGTTCCTGTAAAGGCAGAAAAATAATTATGCCTTGGGTATTTGTAAACTCCGTTTCAATTACAACTTGGCAAATGGCAAAACGCTAGAACCCACGGGAGCCAAACAGAATTACAAGGTCGTAGCACGTGACAACAGCTCCAATAATACGTTATCAGAAGGTATCTCGTTCCCACGTTCTGATAGGCTCGGCGGGAGCTTCCGTTATATGCCAAAACTGAAGTGAAGGAGATTTTCTTTGTTTGAATAAAAATATACTACAAGATCATTGTTTGTCTTTTAAGAGGATTCACCTTCGACCTGAAGATACGCGCTCGTTTTTATGCATGTGATTTCTCACACGTGTGTGAACCTACTATTGGCCTGTTTTTTTTTTCTAGACGAGCAAGTACGACCCGCCACAAAGACGCACTGCGAGCAGTGTTTTATCAGTACATCTACAACTGAGCCCCCTATATGTCTGTACAACGGATCTGCGGAATCAAAAATTTAAAATAGACATTTCAAGTGATTTCTGAGTTTCTGTTTCTTTGTTGTTTTCCTATTCCTAAAACGCTAAATAACAATACTCCATTCTTTTACCTCTAGCGTCTCGAGAGGGAACGCTAATATGTCACACTGCAGGGGTTATTCACTACAGGCCATGATGAAAGTCGTTGTTCGCATCGCATGCTCCAAACTATCTCCCTATTATTGTTTTCAACTATAATGATAATCGCGATTGGGGGGAACCCCACGTCGAACATGCGCATATGTGACTTCCACCATATCAGTACCGTTGTTCTTGGCAGACGATAAGTGGGAGTTGGTCCTCAGCATGCGCCGCGAACTGCATCAGATATGGCGTCCAGTGAATGCCCCCTACTCGAGGAGACTTCCATAATGACATCTCGAATATGCAACAATTATATTCGAGATGCTACAAAATGTATGCACAATGTATATCATGGAGTATTTGGGGAACTAATATGAAGACAATCTAAACTGCTGTCGCTAATGCGCTGGCAGTTTGTCATTTGTGAATTGAACTCTATGTACGGGCTCTATCAACACGCTCTATGCGCCGAGAAATTGAGGAAGAGGAAGAGAAGCGAGCACGCGGGGACGTCACAACGCTGAGGTCAGGTTGGAAGGATTATGTAGTTTACACGAATAAACCGTTTATTTACAGACGTTTCTAGAAATAAGGTGAGGTAGCATAAGCCCGTCCGCCATGCTGTCCAAGGCCCGTGTTCTGTGTTCCATCCAGTGGTCCCGTGCACCTTCGTCGTCTTTTACCCCGCCTACTGGCTCTCTTTCTCGTGCTGTAGTTCGTACCAGCCTATACAGATTAGTGGATGGACTCAAAGCTTTGTCTCCGCTGCATTTGTTCAACTCGTTAGAACGTGGAATGCCGGCGTCCGGCGTTGGGCTTTCGCATTCGAACGCGTTCGACGAGTGCAGTGGAGGCAAAGGCAGCTAGCTTTAGGTCTACCCACTAATCTATCCAATCAGAGCTCGGCGTTCTGACGTCCCCGATCGCTCTCGTCTCCATCCCTCCCTCGGTTTCTCGGTGCATCAGCCAAATCAGTGTTTCGGTTCCTAACACCTACGTATTCACTCTTCTCGCAGTATGTTTGGGTTACTCAATTCGCTACGCCTCAACACAGAACAAAATGACACGTTTTTATTTCAACATTTCTCCCGCGTCCACAAACTCAACACCCAACGCAGATTGGTGAAAAAACCGAATCTCAAAAGCGGACAAATTACGGAATCCCTTGGGAATTCCACTTAGCCTCTTGAACGCCGTGCTTCTATTAATAATTTCGGTTCTTTCAAGGACTCCGCACGCACGTTCCCGTCAGCCAGTCACCAAGCACGGCTTCCCTGTCGTGGTGCCTTGCTCCTAACTTTTTTCCAGAACTGTTCTTTGGCGTAGCTCTGAGTATAGACACGTCGACTTTGCAAGGTTCGACGTAACCGCGACTGGATCCTCCAGATGTATGGGTCGGCCTAGCGGGGCTACCGCTTTCGGCAGCGGAGGTAACGTAGACAATGATGACTAGCACTACGGCGGCCAGTACCAGGTGTTACACAAAAGTAGTAGTAGAATACTTTTATTAAGAGGAAACGCAAACAAAAACATCTTTGCTAGGGTCATCTTAGCTTACCTTAAGAAATCATACGCTTATTAAATACGTCTACTCATATTGCCGCGTGCGAATAGCTGAGTCAGCAGCGTACTCCGCTGACTGGGGTTTGATCCCCGCCAGCGCTTGCCCTTATTCACTTTTTTTTTTTTTTTTTTTCTAATGACTGGAATGTTTTAGATGACTCGAGAAGCTTGTTGTTTGTTCGCGTTCGGGAACTTCTAGATGCCCACGCACTTACAAAAGGAGTTTCGGATGGCTCCTTGAGTCAGTCGCCCTTCCGTCGCCGTCAAAGTAGTCTTTTTTACTTTATATTTCTCGGGACAACTTCGCCGCCTTAAACGTTGCTTTTGAGTTTTATTAATCAAGTTTATGTTTTTATTTGTGATATTTTGGTGGAGGTGCGGTAACGCAATCTATGCCTACGGTGCGTACCACCTGTGAACACAATAACACCGGAGCCGATGACTCTGAAGGCAACCTCCCCGAAAACATCCGAGGATGAATTGAACTCTGACATTAATGACAACCTTAACTATGGCCCCGAAAAAGACCTGGACTATGAACTCGGCAAAGCCCCTGGCTACGACCTAGACCATAACAGGAGGACAACTTGGACGACGACGCCGACAATGAAACGGTCCACGAATTTTGAATACACACCCCGGTTACGACGTCAACAACCAACCCGACTACGGCTTCGACGACAAACAGTGACTGAGATCTTGACGACCAGAATGACGACGACACTGACGATAACACAGACGATGACTCGAACGACGATATCGACGACGATCCCGACTACGACTTCGACGGCAACCCTGACGACGACTGCGACGGTGACCCAAGGAGGACCCGGACGGTTACTTCACCGAAACCCCCGACTAACCTTGTCAACGACCTTGGTGACGAACGCGATGACGATACTGACGACGAGTGTGATGTCGACCAGAAAGACGAACAGAACGTCGAAGCTCGTTTTGTTAATCAACGAGTGGAGGAAGTCCGCCAGTTCGTTCGTTCGCCAGTCCTCTTTTTGGTTAAAGCCGCACAACTTGCTGACGATGGCCGGTACAATCTTGGTCGCCACGACGCCCAGTTTCAGCCCGGCTACAAAGTGTGTATCTGAACCAGTGTTGCCGATTTGGCACCCCTATTCCATTCCAATTCTTTTCCGGGGAATTAGAATTTCCGACAATTCCATTCCTTTTAACTCCTCGGAATGAAGACACTGAGCCCATTCCCACTATTGGAATGTCTGAACTCCACGATTCCATTCCTCTAATTCTTAAACGTGAAAAAGGGGCATTGACAGCCACATCGTGTTAGTAGAAAAAATCTTGCATAAAGCCGTGACATCAAAGGCGAAGACGACTGAAAATGTGTGCTAAAGCATCCACAAAGCCCTCATTCTACTAAGCCGAAGGGTGGTCGCACAAAGCGCTTCATGCCACTTGGCGTCACTGCAGACATCGATCAAGCTATGAATCGTAGAAAGCTGGCGAGTCACAACAAACGCTAAAAATGAAAACAACCGATTTTCATCGCGAACAGACCGTATACATCCGCAGATACATGGTTATCGTGTTGTCAGTTTGACAAGGTCTTCGAAGAATCTAGTCTGTGCGTGGCGCAAGAAGCTATCTTGCTCGCTGCTTTGAGTACTTGCAAAACAGCAACGCTAATGCACTGTTAGAAGCGACGCCGCATATGCCTGCTCCAAATGGCTGAGGCAAGAACAGAGAACCGCTCGCAAAGTGCAATCGGTACACTTCGCCCGCACAAGCGACCGTAGCACCATATTTTGAAATCTGCTTTAGAACGTAAACTTTTACGTTTGCTGTATGATTCTTGATATTTCTTAACATATTCATTCCAATTCTTTATTTGTGTTCCACGCCAACACTAGAAGGTCAGCTGGGTTACATCTTAAATGCAGGGAGTCGAACCGCTCAATATTCTGGTTCGGTTCAGGTTCTGGTTCAGTTGGTTTGCATTTTGTCCTGGTTGGGTTGTGCAGGTTCAGTAATGGTTTTGAAATAACGATTCGTTTACCGGTTCCACAAAGCGCCATCCAGTTCAAACAAGTTCTTAAAAAAATGTCCACACCTCCCAGTTATTAACAAGAAAGTCAAGTTCAACACGGCGTCATCTTCATATAAAAAAAAAAATAGGTCATCAGAAGCCGTGCCGCGGAAGCGAGGACAGTAAAACAAATATATGCTCAATTTTGTTCTGCGTTTTTGACACTGTAATGCAAACACCGCCTTATGAGTTACGTGGTTATACAGGTGCTTGAAAACTACGAAAATACAGTGCTCACGTGTGAAGTCAATCAGCCAGCACGCACAGTGGCAATTATTACTCAAGATAGACGAGATATTTAGCGAGTGGAGTACAACTGCTGGCCTGGGGTCTTTGCGGG